GGCCCTGTATATGATTGCGTTTCAGTAACACCACTGGCCCTGCCTATATAAGCAGTTCATGTGATCATGATGATTTTGACACGGTATCTGCGCAACATTGAAGCATTTCAGGGCGCACAGTCTGTAAAGGGATATCTTCCGCCTTCAGCTACATGGTACTCAATACGCGACGTCGATTACGGCTATCGAATTGTGAAAACTGGATGGAGCACATTTGCTGCGCCAACGACAGTTCATATTCCTGTTTTCATCAGGGGTAAACTTTGGCTTCGGAGGAATGAAACATGGATTAGATGAGAGAGAATGGGAGAACTGCACGAACGCATAAGCACCCTTGCGTCTGAGAAAATTTGGTAAGTTTTTTTAAAGTGTTTCTATCACTGAATTGAAGGACTTTTGCAGGAGGTCATATCGTGCCGCGTCAAAAGCCAGAAATGACAACTACAAAATCAAGAACAAATCCATTCGAGCTACTTATCGCAATGGGTAACTGTTAAATCCGCACAAATTGACTAAAAAAGAAGTGGCTTATGTAGCTTGGGATATAAAGGTCTGGCACAACTGCATGCGGTATGTGCGTGCATCCCAGTAACATCACTGATATGGGATATCCACACTAATAACCCGAGCGGTCTTAGTGTACTTAATACATATATATGTGTATATTGCATATATACATATATATGTACTCGGGTTGTCAATATATATACAAAAAATATATATGTGTATAAGTAGGGCTAGAAAAAATGCATATATGCATTTTTTGTATTGCATCAATGATTCGGGGATGCATAAATACATAAGCAAAGCGAGCCCCTTAATGTGCGCCCCCTATTTATTAATGTTACGTTAATCGTTAAAATTCAGCATACGATGAAAATGGCAATGCACTACCGGCACACGGACAGTTGTTCTGGGATGATGGCGAAACTCTGGTAGATGGCAATATCTCCGATTACAATAATTACCACTGGGAACTGCACTTCACTGCCACCGCCGCTGAAGCCAACCTCATCATC